TCCTTTGCTCCAGACATCTTCGTCCTGGTCCTGATGGTGCAGCTGGGCGTCTGCCTCTTCTTCCTCTTCGCCCACGTCGACGGTCTCTATGCCCGAATGGACGTAAGTAGCACAGGACCCTTGGTGGGCTTCCTTCCACCAGGTGTGCCCAAAAGAGCTGGGCGTGGGTTGAAAGAACAGCAACGGGACCTCCTCAGCGTAGCCGTTGCCCCACAGCAGCTCTCTTGGTCTGTTTCCTCAGGCGTGGCAGATATGCTTTTGTTGGAATAAACATTTGTAAAATGTTGGGGCACCTTAAAAATGCACACATTGTGCGAGCCACCCGTTCTGACCTCTGGCCAGAGGGGACCATCCTCCTCCCGTCTCTGCCCTCGGCAGGCTGTAGCCCCGCCCCCTCTGGCTCAAGCCCCGCCCACCACCCGCAGGCTCTCCCCCAAAGCAACCCATCCCAACCCCTCTCGGTATTAAAGCCTTTGCCTGACCTCCTCAGCGGCAGCCTTGGACCCGCCACGTCCGAGCATCCTCCTTTCCCAACTCGCCTCCTAGATCAGTGGGCTCCCAAGCCTAGGCCCCCAGAGATTCTCGGACTGCGAGCCCCGGATGTCCTGGCCAGGACCGCTGGCGGGGAAAGGGGGTTGAGCTCTCCCAGTCAGAGATTTCCTTGCACCAGCTGGCCCCTGCAGCCCACGGGGAGAGCCATGGGACAGCTCCATGTGGGAAGCCACAACGCCCTTGAGGGCCACTGGGCAGCTGCAGGCGGGAGAGAACCAGAGATCCTCGGCCCTCTTGGGAGCACCAGGGCCGCCCTGAGAAAAAACGTGGTCGGTGGCCAGAGGGGGAGGCTCGCGCTTCGCCTGACGGTCCGAAGGGCCCTTGTTGGGGGGGGGGACATGCCTGCGGAGGACATCTCCCACGGGCTTCCGCCTCTCCTTCTCTCCTGCTTCAGCTGGTGTGTACTCCGACTGTCTGGAGGGCCTCCCTGCTCCTCATGCTGACCTCAGCGGCAGCCTTGGACCCGCCACGTCCGAGCATCCTCCTTTCCCAACTCGCCCCCTAGATCAGTGGGCTCCCAAGCCTGGGCCCCCAGAAGTTCTTGGACTGCGAGCCCCGGATGTCCTGGCCAGGACCGCTGGTGGGGAAGGGGGGTTGAGCTCTCCCAGTCAGAGATTTCCTTGCACCAGCTGGCCCCTGCAGCCCACGGGGAGAGCCATGGGACAGCTCCATGTGGGAAGCCACAACGCCCTTGAGGGCCACTGGGCAGCTGCAGGCGGGAGAGAACCAGAGATCCTCAGCCCTCTTGGGAGCACCAGGGCCGCCCTGAGAAAAAACGTGGTCGGTGGCCAGAGGGGGAGGCTCGCGCTTCGCCTGACGGTCCGAAGGGCCCTTGTTGGGGGGGGGGACATGCCTGCTCCTCCTCAGAGGACATCTCCCACGGGCTTCCACCTCTCCTCTCCCGCTTCAGCTGGTGTGTACTCCGACCGTCTGGAGGGCCTCCCTGCTCCTCATGCTGTTCATCAACTTCATCGCCTCTTTTGTGGCTGAGGTGAGTGGGTCACCGAGAGAGTTGCCTTCCTCTCTTTGGCTTTCACACCTTGGACTGAAGGGGAGGATCCTTGCCTCCTGCAAGCACAGGGCTGGCTCAGAGGTAAGAGGGGGCTCCCGCGTACCCCCCAGAGAGGCAGCCAAGCATCACGAGGGCGGATGGAATCGCTCCGTGCTCTCCGCTCAGCAGGAGCAAATGGTGAACACTGCAGACATTTCCCCCTTGAACCTATGTTGGCAACTTTTATTTTCAGAGAATAGCCATGGTAGGATAATGCTTTTCAAATCCTTGAACAGCTGGCATACAGAGGAGGGGCAGGATCTGTTCTCAGTCATCTCAGAGGGCAGGACATGCAGCCATGGGCTCAAGCTTCAGGAAGCCAGATTTAGGTCGAAGATCAGGAAAAACCTCCTGACTGTTACAGCAGTAGGACAGAGGTGGTGAGCCCTCCAGCCCTGGAGGCCTTCGAGCAAAACTAAGACCTGGCAGATCTGCTTGGATTTGGATTCCTGGCTTGAGCAGGGGGCTGGACCTGATGGCCTTAAGAGGGCCCTTCCAATGTCGCTTTTCTGTGATTCTATGTTAGTCTAAGCCATGGGCTCAAGCTTCAGGAAGCCAGATTTAGGTTGAAGCTCAGGAAAAACCTCCTGACTGTTACAGCAGTAGGACAGAGGTGGTGAGCCCTCCAGCCCTGGAGGCCTTCAAGCAAAACTAAGACCTGGCAGATCCGCTTGGATTTGGATTCCTGCCTCGAGCAGGGGGCTGGACCTGATGGCCTTAAGAGGGCCCTTCCAACGTCGCTGTTCTGTGATTCTATGTTAGTCTGTGTGAGCCTATCAGGGCAAAAACAAAAGAAAAATGAAGAGGACAAAAACATTGTGTCACCTTAGAGACTAATTGCTACATTTTAATGTGAGCTTTTTTTGGACAAGTCCACTTCCTCAGATATAAGAGTGGGACTGCATAGCTTTTTTAAAAAAAAAAATTAGCTATCTTTCACAATGTTGCCATTCTGCCTTTCAGTCCTCCCAACTTCTGAGCATCCCTGCTGAGATGGGGCTGCGCTGGAGATCTCTCGTTTTTGGCATGGGCCTTATCAAGGCCCCTGTTCCATTTTAGGTCTTCCACACTATATGTGTGTGAAATTGTATAGGGACTGGGGTGGCCAGTGGGATGATGCAAGAAAGTTGTGTCGGAGGGCCCACGATTGGAAAGGTTGTGGGGAATGATTTGAAATCTGCATTACATTTCCAAGACTACGGCTTCCCACGCCACCCTTTGCTTTAAAGGGACGGGATTTCCTCTCCTCTCCTTTGGGACCCTGTCAGTGCTGAAGCTGGCAGAGCTGTGCACCTGGTCTGCTAGAGCCAGAGGTTGGGGATTCAATGTATTCGCGTTGGGGATTCAGTTCCCTAGCGTGTGTCCCCAGAGAACAACCACCAGCCAGTGTGGCCTTGGGCAAGCTTCATGGTGGTCCCAGAGTGCCTGCAAATAAAAGGAATTTATAAAAGACTTCTGAGCACTCTATATCCAGAAAAAAATGTGCCTGTCCTTCTCTCGCCCTCTCCTTTTGCAGGAAGCCGTCGTGGAGAACAGAGCCCTCTGGTCGAGGCTGAAGAAAGCCTTTGGGTTCCGGTCCGGCAGCCGTTACAAGAAGCTGCAGCGGGCCCTGGAGAGGGACGCCTCCTGGCCACCCTTGAACAAAACTGACTTCTCGGGGTCTGTGGCAATCCATGTGGATGGTTTTGGGGGGATCTACAGCAACCCAGCCTTTGAGGACCAGGAGGAGCCGGCGTTGTCGTCGTAGTCCAAATCCAGGAGGACCACCAGGGCTGAAATCTTTGCCCCTCCAGGGCTGGACCCTGGGGGCAGAGCACAGAAGGATGCTTTGGAGAGGCACCTCTCAGGGCAGGGTGGGAGTAGGGGGGGAGACAGCAGCTGCCGCCATTTTGAATCTGCCCTGGGGATCCACCAGTCAAGGGGTGATGAAGTGAATTGGGCAGCAAAGCCCAAGTATGCAACTAGGAGAAGAAGCGCCGTTTCTGAGCTGGTGGTTTGCAATGCGAGTCCAAAGGCAAAAAGGGCAAAAAGGGCGGAAGGGGGGGGGAGTAGAGATTGTCTGGATGCCAAAGGCAGCCTGGGGACATCAAGGGGGAGTGGGGGGGAGGGCATGACATGGTTGGGGAAGACCCCAGGTCCACCCAAGAGGAGGCTCACAAAACCCACAGGCCCCTCTTTTGGGGGGGGGCTTCCAACCCACTGGGCATGCAGAAGGAGTGCCTAGACTCATGCAGGACAGCCGGGAGGCAGGCCAGGAGGGGACAGAGTTACCCTCGTTCTGCTGCGCATATCCGGCTTTGGCCTGAAGGGGGCACCCTTCCCCCATTTCTTCTGGCCACCTGGCATGGCGGGTGGGCTGTTTAAGGAGCCGGAGGGCCTTCTCATCTCAAGTCATAAAGAGCACCAAAGATCCAAACATGCATATTCTCTATGATTTAATCCATGTTCCCCTCTGTGATACAACTTTCTCAGACACTGGCACTCAGAAGTGCAAACGCAACCCATGTTTCCTTTTCGAGACCCATCCCAAAGCCCAGGGGGACGCGAGGCAGCAAGCGAGCAAAGGAGGTCTGAACGCAACGGACCTCGTTCGTTGCTGATGGGAGCACAGGCCGTCTGTGGTCTCCGTCGAGCTCCATCCCATGCTCACAGTTTACAGCCGAGCTCTTGAAAGCCGTTCAGCCCCATGATGTGGGTGGACCTCCGCAGGCCAGGGGGATGTGAACACCTGGCCCCTAGCTCAGCAGCCAGGTGCTCCAACCCACTGAGCCAGGACCCACCTCCGGCAGTCCCCGTTCCAAAGGCTTCCTCTCTAGCAAATGTGTTTAGGACCACCACTCTTCCTTTTAAAAAAAATCTCTAACCTTTCTAGTTTCTTTCTGGGCGCCATCAGTACGAAGCCTCTGGTTCCAAGTGTGGGGCTCAGGAAGTCCAGTGGGTCGTGCAAAGCTGCAGCGTTCAAGAACCCAGGAACCCTGTGGGTTGCGTGCCTGACCAGAACCAGCATCACTGGGTTACGATTCGTGTGTATTTTACTGCAAAAGCTTTATCCTATGACACAATTCTGTATTTGATTTCAATTTGGTAAACTATGTGGCAACTTTAGGACACGTCTGAGCAGCAGCTGTCTGTGTCTCAACCTGTGACTGTTTCAGGTGAAGGTAACGGCAAAAGGTGCCCTTGACATTTAGTCGAGTTGTGTCCGACTCTAGGACGCGATGCTCATCCATGTCTGCAAGCCATAGAGCGAGCGCTTTGTCCGAGGACATCATACAAATTCGTGTTGGGATGTGAAAGGAAAGAATGTCTTCCCCATGGCTGTTTTTTCCAGGGTTTCCCAAAGGCAAGGTTCTGGATATGGCTTACCCAGTGCCTTGACAGTGTCGAGAAATTCCGAAGCTGTCCGGGTGATCTTATTGCTACTCAGCCGAGCCCACCTCACAGGGCTGTCGTCAGAACACAGCAGGGGCTGAGAGCCGGCGTCCCTTCCCAAGCTGCTTCGCTGAAGTGACACCTGTCAGACTTTGAGAAGCAGAGAACTTTACCTTCTCCAGCATCCAAACTTTTTTTAAAAAATGAATATTCAGGTAACCTATAATCGTTAGATTTTTTTTCTCCCCGTGAGAACAAAACTCCTTTAAATGAAAGTAAATATATAATTTTATAAACAGGATCCTGTTCTTTCAGATGTGCACTTTACTACAAAAATAGGCCAATGTTCCCATTAAAAATTGAATAAAAACAACATTCAATGAATGGCTGAATGAACGCCATTATTAATCCAACGCGCAAGAGCTGCGAATACAAAATGCTTTCCTCTGAGTTCAGACATGAGTCTCTCTCATTTTTGATCAGCCTCCTTCCCAGGAGTTCTCAAGCAAGCAGCCTTCTTGCCCCATCCTGGGTGGGAAGATCAGTGTTAAGACGACAGGGCCTCCGTTTCCCATCTTGAAGGCAATCTGAGACAGAGTTAAAGCTGAATGCCGTGGGGGGGGGGCTGTTGCAGGTCCGAGAGGAGACGGAGGTGGTCTTGGCCGGCTTGCGCAATGAGACTCCGAAGGAATCCCACACTTAATTTCCTGAAGGCAGGCAGCCCCCAGACTAGAGAAACAGCCCAGCCCTGATCTTCGGGATGCTTTGGGAAGTTAAGGGTTTCCCTCGGCTTCTCCCCGGGGGTAACCCGCTTCCTGTCGAACACACCTGTGCCCTCGATTCTGCAGGCATCAGGAAGAAAGACAGTCACGCATGAAAGCTGCTTAAGTCAGCTGCCATTTGAATGAACGCAGCCATGGATTTTTAAAATCTGATAAGCAAACAAATCAACCCATCAACACCCTGCTTTCTAAATCTCGGTCATTCTGTGTCGCCTCCACCAGCACCGCCCAAAGGCCGGCCAGCAGCTTGTTTCCAGAGCAGCCTTGATCAGCTGGCCATAAAACAGAGGCCATGCCAGATCGAGAGGCAAGATCTTTCCAGCCTATGCACACACAGGTGCAAAACAATCACCTGTGGTTTTGCTGAGTAACCCCTGTAGGCTGATGGAGACCCAGCCTCTGCAAAGGGATAGACTCAGGCTCTTCTGGGCCCCAGGACGCGAGAGCAATGGCTCTGCTGAGCGAGTGCCATGGCCGGCTGGATTCCAGCTGGAGCAGCCAGCGTGGGAGAGGAGGGGGCACCCTGTTCGGTGCAAGGGTGCACAAGGAAAATTGTTTGGACACCCAAACGTGGGTGGAGGTACGGAAGAAGGAAAGCTTTCAAGGTGGTCACCTGGAACCTTCATGAATCTCGGGAGCTCCCTCCCTCTGAGACTTTTCCCCTCTGGCAAAGGCCAGATTTGGGTAGACTGGCATCAAATGCTCCCCAGGACTCTTGGCCAGCCCCGCCTGGAAAGGCTGCCAAGGAGAGTTGAATCTGGGTGTGTCGGTGCACAAACCCGTGTGCGATGCCACTCAGCCTCTCCCTGTCAAAATGCTCACTGGAGAACATTTGCGCCCCCCCCCAAACGCATACACCGGTCCGACTTAATCGGCTTCAAGATTCCACACCTAGAGCAGCTGTTGGCAAACAGGAGGGAGCATGTGGGAGAAGAACAGGCAGAAAAGCAGCCGGGCTTAGAGCGTTCCCTTTCTTCTCTTCAGGCGGTAAAAACCCGCTGGTTCCTCCTGGAAGTTTCTGGCAGACGTGTGGTGGGTGCTTCATTGTGGAGCACACCCCCTTTGTCGGGACCATTCATGGATCCAGGCGACTGCCCTGAGAGCTGCTTTGCCACCAGTGGTTCCCAATGCCCACTAGCCAAGAGGTGTCTTGGTGGCATCTGCGGTTGCAATGAGCCGGCCACACAAGTGGCTCTGGTCGGAGAGGAGCCACGTAACCCAGTTTTCTTCTGACCGTCCCACGTGTGGCGTTGTGCGCCCGATGTCGGCGGCTGGTTCCTTCAGATGGTGCAATTGCATCACACGCTGCTTCCTTGACTTCCCATAACTTTGCCTGCATACGGTTGTGCTGTGCAGTTGCGAACGGGACGCCGGCCACTGTGTTTCTGCTGCACAATCATCAGACGTAGGAAGCCCGTGCAAGGGTCAGCTGTAGCCTGGCACCCTCTCGTCCTCTCCTTGATGCGCAAGGCTGCTGGCTACTGGTCTCACGGCACATGCAGGGACACGGAGGGGGGGGAGGTGTCACTGCCTCACACAGGAGTCTGCATAGCAAATCGGAGTCTGTAGTAGTAGGCATCCTTCAGTCTCGAAAGACTATGGTAGCGTGCTCTGTATGGAGGACTTGGAACAGCGTCTAGTGTGGCTGAGGAGGCCAATTCGAGAGTGACAATCCCTTCCACACTGGAGACAAATCCAATCTGTCCCCTGTCCAGCTCCCTGGTTTTGCTTCCTTTGTGACTTCCTCTTTGCCTCAGCCTGCTGGACAAGGGTCTCTTCAAATTGGGAGAGGCCGTGATGTACTGCCTGCCTCCAGGCTGAACGATCAGATGTCAGAGTTTCCCATCTGTTGAGGTCTATACCTAAGGCCTTCAGATCCCGCTTGCAGATATCCTTGTATCGCAGCTGTGGTCTCCCTCTGGGGCGATTTCCCTGCACTAATTCTCCATATAGGAGATCCTTTGGAATCCGACCATCAGCCATTCTCACAACGTGCCCAAGCCAGCGTAGACGTCGCTGTTTCAGTAATGTATGCATGCTGAAAATTCCAGCTCGTTCTAGGACTACTCTATTTGGAACTCTGTCCTGCCAGGTGATACCAAAAATCCGTCGTAGGCAACGCATATGGAAGGTGTTCAGCTTCCTCTCCTGCCGGGCACAAAGTGTCCAGGACTCGCTGCAGTACAGGAGTGTGCTCAGGACACAGGCTCTATAGACCTGGATCTTGGTATGTGTTGTCAGTTTCTTATTGAGCCATACTCTCTTTGTGAGTCTAGAGAACATGGTGGCTGCTTTCCCAATGCGTTTATCCAGCTCGACATCTAGAGAGAGGGTGTCAGAGATGGTTGAGCCAAGGTACACAAAGTCATGAACAACCTCCAATTCTTGTGTGGAGATGGTAATAGAGGGAGGTGAGTCCACACCCTGGCCCATGACTTGTGTTTTCTTCAGGCTGATTGTTAGTCCAAAGTCTTGGCAGGCCTTGCTGAAACGGTTCATGAGTTGTTGGAGGTCTTCAGCAGAGTGGGCAACAATGGCTGCATCGTCTGCAAAGAGGAAGTCCCTCATGCATTTCAGCTGGACTTTGGTCTTTGCTCTCAATCTAGAGAGATTAAAGAGCTTTCCATCTGATCTAGTCCGGAGATAGACACCTTCTGTTGCAGTTCCAAAGGCATGCTTCAGCATGACAGCAAAAAGATCCCAAAAAGT